ACTCAGGGCGGTGAACAGGCGATAATAAAAATCACAATAAATATCTATTCTAAAATCAAATTAAATAAATAAAGGCCTGCTCTAAAATACCCCATATAAAAACCTATACTAAAACCTAATTAAGACTACGCCAGGCCGGCCGCATGAAATAGATGGGTTTTCAGGGCTCGGCGAAAAAGGCGCAGGTCCGCAGTTGTACGTAGGTCGGGGGGTAGGTCATTCCAGAGGGCAGGAGCTGCCACAGAGAAGGCTCTCCCCCTGGGGGTCACCAGCTGGCATTGACTGGCCAACGGCACCCTAAAGAGGCCCTCTCTGTGGGAGCGGACTGGTCGAAGGGAGGTATTTGGTAGGAGGCGGTCTTGCAAATACCTAGGTCCATTTCCATGGAGCGCTTTAAAGGTTGTTACTAACACCTTGAAGCGCACCCGGAAGGCCACAGGCAGCCAGTGCAGCTCACGCAGGAGAGGTGTTACATGAGAGTATCTAGAGGCCCCCAAAATCCCCTGCGCGGCCGCATTCTGAACTAGCTGGATTATTGTACAATAATCCTGTGAAGTAGGTTGGGCTGAAAGTTACCAAATAGGCTACTGTGACTGCAAATGGAGTAGAAACTGAATCTTTCTGATGTCAAGTGAATACATTAATCCATTTCTCAAATGCTTCCATTTTGAAATTTAATGTAGACCAGCTCCCCCTCCCCCCACTTCAGCTGTTGGAGATCAAGTAGATTAGTCCCACTCTAGCTCAAAGGAAGTTATATGTATTTTTAAATTGTTTCTGATGGCTTTCAACAACTCAATGGAAAAATGGGGGAGGGGGAGAGAATTCTAAACTGTTCTGAGGTGAGAATGACAACATACAATTTGTGGTAAAATAAATTAAAATAAAATATTGTCAGCATAATTGTACCATGTGGAAAGAGACATTAAACATTGACATCCAGATCAAAACAGCTTTTTATCAAAGAGACAAATTAAAAACAATTTAAGAGTGATAATGGACACATTACAATACTATGAACTACATCCAGGGAAACAATTAGCATTAATATTTTTAGATGCTCAAAAGCCATTTGATAATGTTTCCTGGCAATTTATGATTCAGCAACTACAAATAATGGACTTTGGAAAGAACTTTACAAATATAATAAAAACAATATATAGCAATCAGATAGCAAAAGTGATGGTGAATGGAGACTATACTGAGAACTTTGAGATAAGAAAAGGGATGAGGCAAGGGTGTCCATTATCCCTATTATTATTTATCTTTACTTTGGAAGTTTTAAATAGAAGGATTAGACAGGACACAGAAATCAAAGGTTTGAAGATAAAAGACGAAACATATAAGTTACAAGCATTTGCTGATGATTTAGTATTTATTTTGGAAGAACCTTTAAAGACGATCCCTAAGCTATGGGGAAAGATAGAAGAGTATGGAGAAATGGCGGGATTAAAAATAAATAAAGAAAAAACTAAGGTAATAGTTAAGAATCTCACAGATAAACAGAAAAGGCAAATGCTAGAGAAAATAGAGGTCAGATAGTGAAAAAAGTTAAATACTTAGGTATCCATCTTTCGGCCAAATGTTCGTCAATAAAAGAAGATAATTATACAAAATTATTGAAACAAATAAAGCTAGACTTGGAAAGATGGAAAAATCTGAAGTTGTCAATACTAGGAAGAATTACTACAGTAAAAATGAACGTACTGCCGAAGATTTTATTTTTATTTCAAACAATTCCGATAAAACTTGAGAATTTTTTTTCTCCAAGATTTAAATTCATTAATTTTGAACTTTATTTGGCAGGGGAAGAAAATTAGAATTAAGATGAAAACATTACAAGATGCTAAGGAAAATGGAGGATTTGGGCTGCCGGAATGGGCGTTGTATTATCAAGCTTCTGTTTTAACATGGGTGAAAGAATGGATAATGCTTAGAAACAAAAGGTTGTTGTATTTAGAGGGACATGATCTACAATTGGGGTGGCACGCTTTTTTATGGTATGGGAAAAATAGAGCCCATAAGTATTTTCAAAATCACTTTATAAGAAATGCCTTGTTAACAGTATGGGAAAAAATTAAAGCTAAAATATACTTAAAAATTCCAGGGTGGTTATCAATGATGGAGGCATTTGTACACCCGAACTTGATAGACTTTGAAAAAATATGGGCATATAGAGATATTCTAAATATTGATGGGAATTTAAAATCTAAGCAAGAACTGGAAAATCAGGGGATCAACCTGTCATGGTAGGCATATTTACAGATACAAAATAGATATGAAAAAGATGTGAAAATGTATGGATTTTATAAAAATCAAACTGTGTTCGATAAGATTTTGTTAACTTCAGATGAGAAATTAATTAAGAAAATGTATAATTTTTTGTTAATTTTGGAAATGGAAAGCAAACAAGTTAAAGAAACAATGATAAGATGGGCAAAAAACTTTGGCTATAATATAGAATTAGAAAAGTGGCAAATGCTATGGGAGAGAAACTATAAATTAACAATGTCAACCTCATATAAAGAAAACCTGTATAAAATGTTTTATAGATGGCACTTACCGCCAGCAAGATTAGCAAAAATGTTTAAAAATATGTCAGATAGATGCTGGAAATGTAAACATAATATAGGCACGTATTATCACATTTGGTGAACATGTGGTAAAGCTAAGGTTTACTGGAGAAAGATACATACGTGGTTAGAAAAAATACTAGGTGAACATGTTGATTTTAAACCTGAACTTTTTTTACTAGGCATAATGCCTGAAAAGATTAATAAGCAGAATTTATACTTAATTTTACACATCACTACAGCAGCGAGAATAATCTTCGCACAACATTGGAAGAATGAAGAATTGCCATCAGAAGAAGAAATAATCAGGAAAATATTGGAATGTGCAGAGATGGACAGATTAACTATAAAATTAAAAGACAAAGAAGACACAGACTATTACCAAATTTGGGATTTATTTTACCGTTGGTTAGAGGAAAGAATGAAGGAGTAGGAATTGAATATGTATTAGCATAGCTAATCCCAGACAACTCGTTGATTGGAAAAATTAATATATGTATACAAAAGAAAACCAATAAAATCTTGATCAAAAAAAAAAAGAGACATTAAACATTGAGATACGGCAAAGAAGAGTAGAGATGAAGAAAAGGATGAAAGGACTGCACATTTCCAGAATCAAAAAATAAGGAGACAAGATTGTGAGGAAAGAGAAGGTCAACTCAAGAATATGTAGCAAAGTACCTCAACATAATAATACCCAACTACATTAACAAAACCTCCGAGATTTGCATAATGTAATATTTATGTTGATGTTGGTGCCCTGGCCAAAACCTACCCCACTATCATGTGTTCCTTTTTTTCAAGTATAAATTTTTATTATTTTCGTCATAAAAAAAACATCACAAATATTTCACAATGCTATAAAAAGAACCCCACCCCCCACCCACCCACACCCCGGACTTCCCAAACCTAATCCCAGGATACTATTCAGATATAAGTAAACTACTATTAATATCCCTAACTCCACAAAATATTATTCTACATGAGTAGGTGAAATATATAGAAAAAAGAACAAGTTAACTAGAAACCTAAATTATATTCCACCATTCTATGCTTCTTTTGAATATAAACAATCCATCTTCTCCATATTA